AACTTTTCCTGGTTAGGATTCTTGCAGTATTCATTGTTGAGGAGGTTTTTAGCGGGAGCAAGCAATTTAAACTGGTAAAAAAAAAATGCAGTTTCACGTTATAAATCAGTGTTTCTCCAACACTGTTTTGCTTGTCTGAGACAGGCCATTAGCAAAGCACCTGCTAACGTGTGCTCATTTTTTTCCACTGATAACTTCAGATCAAGACATTCAGGAGATTTTAAGCAGGAGCCATATTATCCACAGAGCTCCGTTCCTCTCCAAAACAAACAGACTAGGTGATTTAAACAAAACAAAAAAAACACTGAATAAAGCAGTTTCATGTTACATAAAATAAATTTTTCCATCTTTCCAAGGGCGGCTAACTATGATGGCCGACATGAAAATGCGAATGGCACTGTCTAGGCATTTGGTTTGTTTGTTCTGAGCTACTGTAGTAACATGGCGGTGCAACATTGTGATCTCTGTAAATGAGGAACCACTCCCTATGTAGATATCAATGGTTTATTCTAAGGTAACAAAAACACAATCATTTTTATTTTCAGGTGATTAAACATACTTACTATATTATGTTCCATTTCCAATATATCCGCTTAAATCCTACACACTGGACCTTTGAAAGAAGTATTTAGTGCAGGGAAGATGGCCTTTTTGCAATAAAGAAATTTAGAGATGGTAGTCACAGCAATATGCTCAGATATTTATACATAGATCTATTTGTTGCTGTAAAGAAAGCTCAAAAATGCTCCAGCAAAATTCACCTTTTTAGGAACTAAAGTGCTTGCCTTGGTCTGAGTTGCCAGTTTTTCTACTTTGATTTATTATGCTTTTCTTTGTTTTTATATTATAGAATTATACTATACTTATTATAGGGCCGTAAAGCACTGCTACCCCTACCAGACAACCCTTGAAAAATCCTCGTTTTTGTTTGCACAGATTATACTCTTAGTGTTCTTAAAATATTGCTGTACATCTGTGTAAGAGTCTCCATGGTGCACTGCAAACAGACTTGAACTGGTGTTGGGCTGGCTTTTCAAAACATGAAAAGGAGAGACAAACTTGTCTTTTTTTGGGGAGTGTGTTTTCCTCACCTCTCATATGCGTAGTGCCAGGACTGCACCTTCATTTCAGGATTTGGGATGAGCTCGGCTGCGCTCGGCTGTGTTTGTCTTTGGATTTGGAAAGCCTGCCTACGAGCGCCTTTCTCTGGGAAATGCAGCTCTTTTGGCAGGTGACGGGCACACACACCTGGACATGTATCCATGCCCAGATGGAAGCTAGCGCGGTGGCAGCTGGTGTGACGTCTCCCTCAGGACGGCGGAGTCGCCAGAGGGGAGCTAGGCGGCCGATGTCCTGCTCTGTTGTTCATATAAGGAACTTCAGCTGGGTGGCAGCTGCGATTTGCTGGCATGATGCATCAGCATTAAGGAAAAAAAACACACCTTTAAAAAAATAAAATAACACAACTGGCACTGCATTTCCCCAGTGTGCTAATGCAAAGTGTTGATTGACTTTGACTACACATTTCTATCTATCTATCTATCTATCTATCTATCTATCTATCTATCTATCTATCTATCTAAATCCCAACTCCTTTATCTGTGTGTGGCTCCCTGTGTGCGCCTCACGCCTCGTTCACAGTGCCAACACCTCATTAGTACAATATGCAAATGAACTGGCGCAGGGCCAGAGGGTCAGAGCACAAACTGGAGACAGAATAATAGCACAATGGTGCATCTTTGTGTGTGTGTGTGTGTGTGTGTGTCCTAAGATGCTCATGTCTGTAAATGTGTGTTTACCTGTCTTTGAGTGTGTGTGATGTGTCAGTGCTCACACTGAGGAGACGTGGTGCATATGTGTGTGTTTTTGTGTGACAGAGAAAAGAAAATAGCTGAAATGGGTCAGCCTACACGTACTGTTCAGTTAGTGCACCGACAGCTTCTAAATAACCATGACCCCATAATCTCTGGTTTGGTTTTCTCCAACCTTTTGTGACAAAGTTAAAAATCTCCCCTGTTACATTGTAAAATGTCAGCGGCGAACAATGTATTTGTCAGATTCCTACACTGTATCTGATCCCATACAAGTTCGCTTCATGAGACACAAGACAGCATTATTTGATTTATGTCATGCTTGGAATGGGAAACCCTACCTGGAGGTGAGGGAAGCAGATGGAAGCAGAGGCAAACTCAATCAGTCTTTGGACAAAAATGTAGAATATACACCAGAGTTACCCTTTGGTATCATCATGAAATGAGCTGAACTGGAGGCCAAATTAGCAACGATAAATCAGAGATTGCAGTGAGCGATTTAAAGGGGACAAGATATGAAAGAAATCTGCTCGGGCCAGTGCCTCACCTGTCAATGACATAGGCTCAGTATGACATGTCAGCTGCAGGGGCTGCAAGCAGCACGATGAACATGTATAATTGAGGTTAAATCTCCATTTCTGATAAGGGTGGCTCCGCACCCCGTGGCTGTAAAATATGAACCAATTATATCACACTGAGGTCTATATTATATACAAGTGAATTTCATTTAATGAAACACAATGGAGCAATTTGGCATTGTGCCAGACAAAGCATCCACGTTAACTTCTTCGTAGCAAAAATTGCCCACACCTGGCACAACAGTACTGACTTCCTCAGTTTTCACACTGTGCATAATGAGTGACTCACAGAGTGCAGGAGAAGGTGGCTCCTTTTTAGATGCTATAAGGAGCTCTGTCTTGTAATATTACAGCATCAGGAAATTAACCCTACAACAGCTTCTGTTGGAGCAAATTAAACATACTGAAGTACTTGTATTTTCAACAAGAATACATGGAGTTACTGTAAATCCCTATCAGGTATTGATCACTAACATGCAACACCTTTTTGGAGAGGGTCACCAAGTGCAGGGATTCACTTGTTTACCCCCAATGCCAAATAACATGTAATGCTCTCAGTCAGCTACAGTGTTTCATGTATTTGCAACCATGTTACAACATTCATCTCCAGGGCAACCAGCTTCAAGAAGGGGAGACTGGGACAGTTGTAACATGGGACAGTTGTAAGACCTTGAATCAGAAACAAGCCAGAGTGATTTCTCAGTCTGCGCATGCTCAGTTAGATTGTCGTCTTACTTACAAAAAATGAGCCACATTTGAAGTTCCCAGAGGTAAAAATGTAACTTTTCTATCAGATGTATTTCCAGATGCTGTCCCGAGATCAAATGTGTTAGAATTCAAACAAATATTATCAAACTCAGTGTTTTGTGAGCTAAAAACAGACATGACTAATATGTCGAATTATAAGTCAGGCAAGTTGATGTGAGGTAAAGTGATGATGCTGGGACCATGTTTAAAGTCCTTACACCAGGTACTTTCATTTATAATCAAAAAATCTTGAGGCCTACAGAAACTAGTGTACATGTCAGTCAGTTTGGTTGGGCTTTTATACAGGATTGGAAAGATGTGGACTGTACTTGATTTAGCTTAGGTAGCTTATTGCCCCTGTAGGGTGGGACAACCTCCACCTTCACGCCGAGTTCACGTCTTGTCACTCAGATGGTTTTTACAAGCAGGCAGGTGGGAGGAACCTTTCACGTTTGCCTCTTAGTTGTTCCAAGTCAGAGAAATGGGGGACTTCCCATAGCTAAGATATTTACCACTTGGCAAAAAGAGCCCCAAAATTGTCAGCAAGCCAGTATTGAAATTCAGCCAATTAAGCTAATTAAAAATAAGCTATACATCTTGCATCTGTTTTAATTGTGAACACATTGCTCTACATTGTAAACGCAATAAACTAATTTAGCCTATTTATATATTGTGACTAAAAGGCTAACAAATGGAATAAATTGGTGCTCAGGTTGGAAAAGCAGGTGGTTTTCCTCTCCTTTTCTTTTGCTCCTTTTTCAACCTTTTTTCCTGAAGGACATTTTGAAATGTCACAGCAGAAAAGGCACAAATCCACTTCTGTATAATGCAGCATTCACGTCATATCATTTAAACTGTAATTATCAGCGGCAAGGAGAAAGAAAAAATTCACAGCATCTGACTTGCAACACAAAGAAGCGATATTGCAGAATTTCACACTCCACCACTCTTTTCACTTTCTGAAAAGAACTATGGAGGTGACAACAAACTGTTTGGCAAAATGGCCGCAAATGCACCACAGCTGGCATCAGAATATAATCCTATAGGCCTATTTATACAATGGATTCATAGGATCTATACACTGTTTCTGCAGTACATAACACACCAAAATCAGCTATTTTAGGCTGTTTAACGTGAATTGGTTTGGCTACAAGATAAGCACTGCCAGACCTAGCACATTCAGGGGGTAGCCTGTGTAGCCTATAGGAAGATCTGCCACTGGCTGCTGACACTGTCTGAATGAAGTATAATGAAGTCATGGTTTATGTTATGAGTAACACCTATGCCTTTCCTACGATGACAGGTTAAAGCAGAGTTTGGTCAAATCACGTAGTTTCTTGACAAAACTTCACCGAGCTTCAAACTGAGCAGAAGTCTGTGTGGGTGTGCAGGGCCTTTATGGACTTTATTTAACCTCTGTCTTACTTACTAATGGCTCCTGCTTTGTACACTATATTTTACCGTAGGACAATGAGATCAGAACATTCAATATACTTCAGTTTCGTCATGTTAATGTAGCGTAATTACTTTTAATTTTTTAAGTGAGTTTAATTTTCTCTTTATGTCGTCAATAAATTGGTGTTTGAATGAACACACACGCAGCACTTTGAATGTCTAAACTAAATGTCTTTCAGTCTCCTCAGCCATGCACATGCATGCACACACACTCACACACACGGTTTTGTTTCAGAGAATCCTGTTGATTGGTTTGTCCACAAACCAATGACTGTTCACCCATTTTACAGTCACCATTTCTGTTCATCTTTCTCAGTGTTGTTTTCCATTTCTGAGTTTTTCCTTGTTGCCTCTGTTCACCTGTTTATTTTGTCCATTCGTAAAAAGAAGCCATTATTTCTCCCCCCAGGCGAGAGACGACGATGGCCTCGGTGGGAAATTACCCCAGCACAGCTTTACTCAGGACACGCCCAGGCTTGTCTTCAAGACAAACAGCGATGTGCTTGTAAGGACCATAACCATTTAACACCAGATAGAGTTTAAGCTTGATGGCTACTGCACAAATATGTTTTGATGTTGTTCTTTGTTAAAAGTGTATAATTTTCAAGTCATTTCTTCCTGACATGTCAATGGACTGGTTCATATTTGGGCATTACTATAAAAGTAGACATCAAACATCAGACTCAGTCCAGCCCAAAAAATACACAGTACACAAGCGGCACTCATGTTTTACATAAAGTTTGCACACATTTAAGTTTGAGCTTTTCATAACTTTTTTCATGCGTAATCATTTCCTTTGCTCATTTTCATTATACATCATATTCAGTGACTTGTGTTATGAATATGTAGGAGTGATTAGACAAGGAAACTAAGGTGAACTGTGCGGATTTACTCATTTATTTTTAATGTTTATTAAGTATTGCAATATGTTTTATACAGATCATTCTGAATTGAGATTACAGTTTGGTGGACTCTTCATCACAACAAAAAGACAATTATATATTATGAAATATATATTACTAACATGTCACATATTATGTTTAATGTAGATTTAAAGGAACACTCAAGTTAAAACCAAAATCACTCTTATTTTCATAGTTTCAACCATCATTTCTGCGGCTTTCTTTATGTCTAATAATAGCATTGTACCTATTAAGTGAAGTGCTGAGATCTTGGATTGTGGCGACATCACTAACAAGAAGTCACATGAGGCAAGAAACACTAGCAGTCAATCGTACAGCTTTTAAAATACACAGATGGGTTAGCCAAATGTTTCTGATAAAAAAAACATGATCACACTGTATAACGATTACCCAAACTTAATGTTTTTATCATCCATCACAGATTCAACCACCGACTGTTTCTTGTGTGCTTACAGTTTTAGGTGGTTTAGATAATCTGGCTAAACTGTTGGCTTGTTAACAACCTATTTGATTATCTGACCACTCGTGCCTTTCCCCATTGTACTTCTTTTAGGCAATGTTGCTGTGTATCCCATCAGAAATTACTATGCAAGTACAATTATCACAGTTGACAGAGAAATGGTGACCCCCCCCCCGCCCACCCCCCCCCCCCCCCCCCCCCCCCCCCCAAACAAAAAAAAAAAAAAAAAAAAAAAAAAGAAAAGAAAAGACCAGAGACCAAAATGTGTAGGTATTTAGGGGCATCTTCATTAGTTTACAGTCTCCTATAACTAATATCTACATACAGAGCGGGTCCTTTTCTATAGAGTCTGCCATGTTGTTTCTACGGTAGCCCAGAATGGACAAAACAAACCCTGGCTTAAGACAGGGCTATTCGTGTTTTTCGTGTTGGCCACCGCAGTTCTACTACATGCTTGGCACAAGGAAGAAATTTTAGCTGGTTGCAATCTACAACCTTACCCGTATGGCACTAAATCCTACACACTAGTCCAGTGGTTTTTAAACTTTTTGTGCCCAAGGCACTACAAAGGGCCAAAATCTCACCTGTATCTCCTGTATTTATATGTATGCACAATAGCCTGTATAACGTGTGTTATCACTCTTGTCACGACATAAATGCTAGTTTTTATTTACTAATATCAAATAACAATTGACAACCAACTATTACTTGTGAAAATTCTTTTTGAACTTACCGAAATTACATCAAAGCACCAGTAACACATCCATTTTGACTAGAAATAGTAAGTAAGATAATGTGATGTGTCACACACTTATAATTCCCACATGCAGATGGCGACAAATAGGTTCCCCGTGAAGGTTTTTAAAATGAAATTAGATTAATTTACATTTTACAGTTTGCCTTTTTATCAGGAAATGGGTGCACACAATACAGGCTACTGATACAGTCAAATAAAAATTCAGTCATAAATTTTTATAGGCCCAGTTAAATATTGCATTAATAATGTGTGGTTAATTATCACAAAATCCCACGGCACACCATTTGAGAATAAATGCACTGGACCTTTAAAGCCTTAGTTTAACATTTTAGGAATTATGTTTGTCTTTTTGCTTAAAGTTAGATGAGAAAATCCATAGAGCTTGCTTATCTGTAAGCTAAATATGAAGCTACAGCCAGCAGCTGGTTAGCTTAGCTTAGCCCAAAGACGGAAAACAGGTGGCTACAGCTATAGCTACTGGCTCATTTCCTGCAAACGGAAATTAGCTAGTAGCTAAATCTGGTACAATGCATATCTTTTTCTTGGATGAGATTTATGTTTTTTTGTCCCTTACAAATAAATGTGATAAACTAAACTAAAGCCTTTGACTTAGATTTTCTCATATAGAGACAGGCTAGCTTATCACCGTCTTTATGCTTTACATGCTAAACTAAGCTAATCAGCTGCAGGCTGAGTTTCATATTTAGAGTGAAGACGTGTAAGTGAAGATGTCCCATGTGAAAAAGCAAACATCTGACAGCCACATGCCAACAGAGACATATCATCCCAGAGGAGTCCAGTCTGCTGCAGTGACAGTCAAACACAATCCTCCAGGTCTGTCTCATCGCTCTTACAGCTGGGGATATTTTACTCACTGTGCGTGCGTGAGTGTGTGCTGTTAAATATAGTGCGGTAGAGGCTCACCTGGCCGAGTGAGAATGGCCTTTGTATGTCTCATCTATAATGACTAATGGTGACTGGCTGTGATAAGAGCAGCCTTACAGGGAGTGTAGCTCTGGCCTTCTTCAGTTTTTTACAGTTTAAATGTTTCATGCTCGATTCAGGTTTTTAATGAAGACATCAGGTACACAGTGTAGCCAATTTAAGGCACTGGGAAAGAATTTGAACCAGATATGTTTCCCCGTTTGTAAGCCAGGCAATTATAACCACCATGATAGATATTTCAATAAATGAGAGCACTGTAAACTGATATTTTGGCTAATCACAGTAACAGGTCCACATGTTGCAGATGGTTTGTTAAGTGCTGCCAAAGTTAAATTTTCTTGTGTAAACTTTGGTGAAGGCTTTATTCTGTTTTATTTTTCCAATGGTCCAGGTGCTTTAAGATGGCAGTCTTTTGCTACGTAATCTAGTTTTTGGATTGAATTCGTAAGGCAATAAGCTTAGTGTTTCTGTTTGCTATCATTTATGGGCTTGAATTGTCATGAGTGGACACTTTGCTGCAGATTGTTTGGAGTGCGGGACAACTGAACTAAAAACTAAGCAACTGGCTCACTTCAAGCACCTGGTTCATTTCCACGGGTTTAATCCTTGTGTTTTGCACTATGTGATTATAGCAGCAATCTGAGAAGTGTCAAAAGAATCACATATCGACCTTAACAGAGGGGATATACAAGCCTTTCCCTTTATGCACTTTTACTGCTTAAACCTCCTCATTCTACATATAAAACCACTTCAGGCACTACAGCCTCTTATGAAACCTTACAATCTCTGCGCCGTCTGCAGCCCTCCAGCCTCTTAACCCTCTGCAGCCGCCTCCTCTTTGTCCTCTTCATTATCTAAATCCTCCACTTCCTCTGCAATCTCTTTAACATCTGCAACCTCTTCCTCTTCTTCACTGCCTAACACGATCTCATCTCTCTCTGCAACCTGTTGGTCTACAACCAGCTCCTTCATCTCTGTTACTGGAGTACTTTAATACTGTATTTCCAGTCCCTCAACCCCTGAGAATGTCCTCCGATCATCCTTACTTCACTTTTTCATTATGATTATACACAAAAACTAGCTGATCTTGGATGCTTAAATGTCACCGGCCTTGTCACCGGGACAGAGGTCAAGAGGAGGAAGAAAACGATGACTGCTGAGGTGGTTGCACTTTTTTTGGAAGCACGCTAATTGTTGCAACGCAAACGGTTAAACTGCACTGCCAATGCTGGTTCGTTGACCACGATGGAAATAAATGACCATAATTACATTCAACTGCAAACATCTGTGTAGTGGGGAGCGAGCAAGCGAGAGACAGAGAGAGAGAAAGCACAACTCCATTAGCGTAATGCGCAGTGAAATTTCACTCACAGTGCAGAAAGTCGTTAAGTGCTCTCCATCTGTCTTTCTGAGTCGAGGAAAATTTCAGCACATTTATTATTTAAAATATCCTGGGCCTACCATTATCAAACTCAACTTGCAAGAGCACCTTTTTGACTTTTACTCAGTCATGGCTCATTGAATTAGCCAGGACTAAATGGGCAGTTAAAACGTGTCGAATTCAAGGGACTGACATCTGAGCACCGCCAGCGTACTGTTTAAGCGTAGCAGTTGCTGTGTAGTCCAGTCTCTGATCTGTTTGTGCTGTGGTTCCTTATGTTCTCCAGCTGCTTGTCCTGAACTCTGTTCATGTGTTAGCGTCAGAAATTCCTCCTGAATTGCATTTGTGTGAGTTAACCCTCCCGAGTGACACCACATAATGACTCTGAACTTATTACAAATGCAGAGCTATAGTACATCTTTTAAAACTTTTTTTTAGGTGTTTCTGCTTGATTCTGTCCACCAGACGATCTGATTTAAGACACATGACATATGCAGAAAACCTGATGTTTTACACGTGTAGCAGCTGCAGGTCAGCATGCTATGTATTCTTTTGAAATCCTAGCCAATGCTACAGTGCATCTGCCCAAACAGCCCATGTGAGTCCACTGTCTTTCAGTTGCTGCCAGATAGGATCCTGCCAAATAAACCAATGTTGCTGCGCAGCGTGCAAAAGGAGTTTATCCACCTTCCGGTTGCATCCCTCAACTTATTAACATTCAGCAGGGGGGCTTAAGGGTCTGTGTGATGGATGGATGTCGTTGAGGGGTCTGACAACTGATTAATGCCTTAATTATCTCCAGCGAGGACCTGCCACTCCTCCCAGAGCTGACAGAGTGAGCTGTGTGTGGCCTGACGAGTAACGCCGTGTTCAGGGCTCGCCCACTGCTATCTGCTCTACCAGGGTCACATTCATTTTCTTCCCAAAGAAAAATTTGCACTTTTTGTGCCGGAAAAGGTGTATAACAGTGATGGAACAGTGCAGCAGGGTGTTTTGGGATCTTTGCCACTGCAGTCAGCAAGAAAGACAACTTTTCAATTTACCCTCAGCATGTTTGCTCTCTGCAGACAGAAGTGATCCTGCAGCACAATATGATGATGCCATTTTATTATCCCATCCTAATTATTGGCTTTGTCCACACTCTATAAATCCCAATCTGAGTCTAGAAAGTTGATCTGAAAGCAATGTTATAATTCTAATAGATACTCTATACACAAATTAAACCGATATGGATTAGTTTCCAAAAGAACTTGCTACTACAGAATTTCATTCATATGACATATATTGTTAGGTGTTCATCTTATCTTGTCCAGGCCTTATGTACAATAAAAATACCAGCATTTAACCACGCAATCCACTTCTCTGACATTCTGTATGTACGTGGACGTCAAGCTGTAGTTTTTCCATTTGAAAAAGTTAGTGGAGAGACAACACTGCTGTGTTGGTGTGTCCAATTGTTAAAATTACAAACAGGCAGTTGTATTTCACAAGATGCTGGAAGCCATGGCTGCATTGCATTCTGGTCTTTTGAGGCAACTGTAAGTGGATAAATAGATTTGCCACTGAAATGTTGTTGAAAGTTGGTCTGAAATGGCAGCTCTGTGATTGGAAAACAATGTAAGACAATATGCATTTTTGTTACTTTCCTTTACAACATGCATGAATGGCAATACTTGTCATTTTGTATTTAGAAAATAATAATCAGCACTGCAGAGGTCACCGAAATAGTCACATCATGTATGTTCAGCCAGATATCCATAGAAATAACAAAAATACAAACAGCTTGTTGAATGCCTTGTCAGTTTTTAGCTATGATTGCACTTTTTTGTGATCTCAAAGAGTCCGTATGCCACATTGAGAGCCATGTGAAGATACAGTGGAGTAATTGCGTCCTGAGCAGAGAATGAAGTCATGCTACCTCTGTGTGTGTTGTTACCTGAGCTTCTCTGTGGTTTGTTGTGGTAAGGTGGTCCAGCTACGTGTGCATGTTAGTGCATGTGTGTGTCCCACTCTTTGCACTGTGCAGATACAGGGGGTTCTTGGATGGTGTCATCATGGAGGCTTTCCAGTTCCCCTCTGTTTAACACTGTCAGCTCTGTTAGGCCTGTTGCCTTTGTTTAGTGTTGTGTATGGAGTTAGCAATGTTAGCTGCTAGCCGCCAGCTCAGCCAACTCATACGGTTTAAGTTTTGCAGTAAGCCCCTTTGAGAGTTTACAGTAAATGACAAAATTCATCATTCAATCATTTGATGCCTCTGAGGAGATTTAAAATCATTAATTATGTGCCTTCTGGGACTGTTTTTGATTTGAGGTGTGGCCTGAAGTGCAAAATGTTGGAAATCTGAAAGTTGCAGCAGCAGTTTTCTACTCTGTGTAATTCAGTATCATTCATTTGCTCTTTTCAGCATTTAAACTGACTCAACTTTAATGTCTGTTTACAACTGTAGTTGGCACACACTTCAAGACCAAGTGTGGAAGGCCATTTGCGGAAAACCATCTTTTTGTCTTGTTGTGCTCGGGGCGTTAGTCTCCCAGGGATCTGTGGTTAAATGAGACTGAGAGTGTCTTTATTGCCAACAGAAGGTTTAAATGGGCATTTCTTGTTAGCACAAAAGTTAAAGACAAAGTCACTTCAATAGCACTTAGCAGCAAAATGCCATCACATGCACATTTACCTCTCAGTAAGGAAAACACATTGATTTATACACATGCACAAACACACACCTACATTAGATCAAATACATGCAGGCATGCGAATTTAAACAAACTTCAAGGTTAAGTGTTTGCTCTTGACAGATTTGTAAGAGTGTTTAGAGACAGCATCAGTTTTCTTGAATCTTGTTTTAAATGTGTTTATCTCCAGATGGTTTGGAGGCAGAGCTTTTGCTTACCAGGGTACTTCAGAGGATTTTTTTTTGTTTTTCATCAAAAACAAATTAGAAGTCTTTTGTATGCAGAGTGACAGGTGCTGATGCAGTGTGTGTATTGTGTGTGTGTTTTTCTGTTACAGGTATGTGACTGGTGCAAACATATTCGCCACACTAAGGAGTACCTGGACTTCGGTGCTGGTGAGCGGAGGCTGCAGTTCTGCAGTGCCAAATGCCTGAACCAATATAAGATGGACATTTTCTACAAGGAGACCCAGGCTGCACTGCCTGGAGCATTGTGTAACCCTGGACACGGCGCTGGTGGAGAGAGTAAGATGGAGTGCAGTGGAGGGGTGCAGCTGCTCACTCCTGAATCCTGGGGAACGCCGTTAACGGACCTCCGGCGAAAAGCTCCTTCACCAGGGGGGCCTTCCACCACCTCTGCAATGGCCCCTTCCACTTCTTCTGCCACCTCACCATCAGACACTGCTGCCGTCTGCTCCCCGTCCTCCTGCTCCTCAGCCAAGATTCCCACACCCAGACCCCATGAGAGCCCCACACTCCCCCCTCCACCTGTTCCCTCTTTGCACCCACCTGTTGGTGTTCCCCCTGGTAGCCCTCCCATGGTGATGACACCCCGGGGACCCATGCCCCTACCGCTGTTCATGGAGCATCAAATGATGCAGCAGATGCGTCCACCATTTCTTCGGCCCTCTGCCCACCCAGGTGGGCCCAATAGCCCCCTGTCAAACCCCATGATCCCTGGTATTGGTCCACCACCTCCCTCTAGGACCATGGGTTCAGCATCAAGCCCCATGCACAGACCCCTGCTGTCTCCACATGTCCACCCCTCATCCAATCCCAACCCTGGCATGATGCCCCCCCACCCTGGTCTCCCCATGCCAGGCCTGCCTCCTTTCCCCCCTGTCAACATGATGCCCAATGGACGCATTCCTCTGCCCCCTATGATGAACTTTGGTATGCCATCCCTGGCCCCATTGGTACCCCCTCCAACTCTCTTGGTCCCTTACCCTGTCATTGTACCCCTCCCAGTCCCAATCCCTATTCCAATCCCAATTCCCTTCAGCCCCAAAACTTCCAGGGACCAGCCAGAGAGCAGTGGCACCTTCCGCAGTGCTCCAGAGTCCTCTGAAGCTTCAGCCTCTGGGCCCCACTCTCCAGGTTCCTCTGCAGGTGACAGAGGGGAGCAGAAACTAGAGCCAGCTGGTGCAGAGCATCTCTCTCCTGTACGCTCAGAGAGAAGCAGGACGGCATTGGTGGACTTGACTGTGAAGGCAGAGGAAAATGCAGGCAGTCTGTGTCTAACCAGCGGCCCTGGACCGATGGACGGGGTTATTGATCTAACTGTGGGCCAGAGGCCATGCCAACAGCAGGTAATTCAGAGGATGCTACCTGGGGTCCAGGTCAAAATAGAGGCAGAGGCTGAATCAAGATCTCCACCAGCTGCTGGGCTGGGTTGGGAAGGGAAAGGCAGTCGTGATGGGGGGGAAGGGGCCCTCTCCCAGGGCCTCCTTAGTGCTGCAGAGCTGGAAGGGGCCACACACCCAAACACACTGGAATTATCAGGCCCACCATCCAGCAACAGCAGCCCTTCTTGCCATGCTGATCCTCTAGTGAGCCAGCTAAATCCCTGTATGTCTAATCGTTCCCCACCACCCTTACCCAGCACAGCACGGACCCAGCCCCAACCCCTGCCCCAGCTCCAAACTAGCCCTGCTGCCCCATGTAATGTCATAGTCAATGGTACGGGATGGCATTCGCTCCTCACTCCTGCCTTTGAGTCTTACCCTGACCGAAGAGGAGACAGTGTTGCAGGAGAAGGAGAGGCTGAGGAGCAACCAGCTAACGGTGAGCTGGAGCATGAGGCACTGAAAGAGAACAATTGCTCAATTGGAGATTGGGAGCCGGGTAAGCGGGGCTCAACACAAGACGAGATGGCGGACACAGTGGAGGGTAAGCCAGACCCTGACTCCAACATGGAGGAGGGTGAGCATGCCTATGCTCTGCCGCTGCTGTCTACCGGAGGCTGTGTCGTCATCCAGCCTGTGCCAAAGCCCGGCGCTGACAAGACGGCCATCCTGTCCTGCTCCATCAGTGCCCCTCTATCAGCAGACGGGAGCCCCGAGCTAGAGCCGCCGCTGAAGAGGAGGTGTCTGCGAATCCGCAATCAAAACAAATGAGGTGGGTTTACCCCAGTGTGCTCCCACAAAAACTGTTACGCGGTCGTGCAGGCTCTGTATTTAAGTATGAATTTACACAGATTTATTCATTGACATTTTGTAATTCCCAGTGGGGTACCCATCGAATAATCAGTCGCTTTTGATGTTTCAAATGTCTCTCACTCCCCAGCGTGTATCCTTGAACTATTTGAAATTATCTCTTTTACTTCCAAAATGTTTTTAACAAGTTGTTTATTTTTCATATTTAGTCTTATTCTATAATTTCTGGAATTCTGGCAAGAGGGTTATTTTATGTTTTGTCCAGTGTAGCTAACAATGAGGCTGATCACTTCATCAGAATTTCACAATATGGTGCTTGATTCAAGGGTAGATTCTGTGTGCCCTCAAAGAGACAGTAATCAAACAAGCAAGTGAATTATCATCCAAAAAGAATGTCAGAGTGCACGTTCAAAGGTGTCACTGTCACAGAGGTGTGCAGGTGATGTATTTAAATGTCACTCACAGCGACTGACTCTGAAAGGCGTCTGAAAGGAAACCAGGAGTGAACACAATGTGAAGCTTACTTGTTGATTAGATTTAGATAACATATTAAGACTCCATATTAGATTATCAAATATATCATTAGAGATGACAACCTACTAACGTGTGAGCATTTTTTACGCCTGCAATGAATGCAATATCTCAAGATCACCCTGAGGGAATTTCTTAAAAACTGGCACTAACGTCCCCTGGCACTCAGTGATGAACTGATTAGATTTTGGGCACAAAGATCAAAGGTCACTGTGACCTCACAAAACATGTTTTTGCCCATAACTCAAGAATTCAGTTGCTAATTATGACAAAATTTCACACAAATGTCTAGTAGGATAAACTGATGAAGTGACGACATGTTATATCCAAAAGGTCAACTTCACTGTGACATCATAATGTTTTGCAAGAACTATTATTCGATGCCATCACTCAGTAACAGAGGGAGAGACATTAGGTCATTTGCCGATCTTCTGTGCTGCTGTGTTGAAGACGTGTGTGTGAAGCATTCCCTGTTTTACAATATGTAGCTTTTTTGCAGCAACATCCATACTTGAAGCAATGTCTGCTGTCATGGTCTGGACAGACCTGGATGTAAACTACAACTGCAATGTGACTTGTTTTAGGTTTGTTTTGTAGTTTTGATTTATATGCATTTCTTGCTGGAGCATGCATTTCGCCAAAACATTATTATTTTCTTACATATTTCCTCATGAGCAGGCACATTGCTCCCATTTTACAGCAAGATTACTTGTTGCTTCACCCTGACTGGCAGATTACCTCTGTGAGCTTCAGAATGGAAATGGGAAGTCTGTCATGTCAAAGGATTTATTCAACACATTATTACCAAATTTAATGATGCACTCCTCGAGTTCTTAATTAAATGAAATTGTATTCAAGAGCAATTGAAGACCAATTCAAGTTGTGGTAACACGAGGCGAGCGCTCTGAATTAGAGTAATTAATAACGACAAAAGATGGAAATCAAGCCCCATGCGCGGTTAGTGCTGCTAAAAGCAACCCAGCAGCTGAAATGAATCATAGAAGTGGAGGAAAAAATGTACCGTAACCTTCAGATACCTAAAGATACACCATTTTTTGATTATTGATAAGGGAGAATACTAAATCAGTTTGCTGTATCTCACCTTGCCCACATGCCAGCAATATCACAAGGCATTCATTATGAATTATCTAAAACATGATGTAAAATTTATGCCACCAGAGAGGCACACGCTGAATATTTCATTCTTTATTTGCCCAAAAGTGTCCTCAAGCTGATACTGATTGCATGTACTGAAGAGAATAAACCCCAAATTAGGAAGCACTGCTGACAATCTGCATTTTCCTCAATTTGATCCTCAGTGATTTTAACACCAAAACTGTTCTTGAGAGGTTCTTGTATGAGCCCTGTTGCTCTGGACTTAAGCCCCTCTGCTCTCCTGCTTACCTTGAAATGAAAGTTGGGGCTGCCTGCTTGGATTCATGCATCGACTCTACAAAAAACAGCCTTGGGGGGTTGACTCAGTCTAATTCTCCTCCCACTCTGTTTCACAGATGGACGCTCTGAGGACCACAGTGCCATCAACGACACTCACTTGTCCACCCCCCACCTCCAAATCCCACCCCTCCCAGCTACACCACCACACACGTTCACACACACACACACACACACACACACACACACAGATTTTTCTCGTCCTCACTCATCGTCCAGTCTACCAGCACCACAAAACGCCTTCGACAACTGATGAGAGTCCAACCAAACATGTTGATGTGTATCATAGCAGAGCAGACAGGACTCCTTTTGTCCATGTGACAGACACTCTGATGGACTGAACTTCTACAGACTTGATGTCGTGGCCAGCAGGATCGCTTGACCTTTGAACTGCAGACAGTATATCCCTGCAACAGGAGGACTTTACCCCGCTGCTTCTCTCCTCATTTACAGACTCTCAGCCCACACTGCCCCTTATACCTTATCCACCCTCCCCCTATCAAAGCAAGTGCTCTCTGTATTGTCTGTTTCTATGGAACGCTGCTGCTGGGATGTTAGTGAAGGAGCTCCAAAGAGAGATTTACATCCCTCAATGAAATTGCTCCTGTTTCAGTCCGACCTGGTGCCACACCACAGATACAAAATCTCTGCTTCAGTAAGTGTTTTTTTTTCCCTCACACAACTTGTCACTAAGGTATAGACTGATTTCACAAAGAGCCACAGAGCTGGCAATAAACTAACCAGCAAAAATGTACTTGCCAACCTGACACAAAGTGTTCTGGGCGATTCTGATGGGTGGTAGCTAAAGAGGAGCATACTAAGCATGAACACATGACTGAGAGATATTTCAATAAGAGGCTGGAGAACTGTCCTTGGACATAAAATCACCGATTTTGTTGAGAATTACTGAATCAGCAAACTAGAGGATGAAATATTAACCTTCACCAGCAAGTAATGGTGTGTGGGTGGAATCATGCAATCTCTGCCATTTTCCTGTAGCATCTATTTGTTTGCTCTTAAACTTCACTCGTTTAAAATATAGTGTTACACAAGAATGAGGCAGAGTTGTCATGATAATCATTCCTACTATTGGCATTATCACACCCTGTGGAACGCTGTCTGTGTGCTCTAACAGTAAGCCATGCTAGTTACAGTAATAAGCTGCTGTTTGAGAACATTTCGAGGCTTACTGCACCTCCAGAAGAACTGGGATGGCATGACAATGTAGAAACTCTGCCAACCTGCAGTGGGTACTTGCAACCGCAGGCTAGTACTTAATCTTTTCTATAATACATTACCAGTGATGTTTCTGTAATGGGCTAGTTCAAGACTGCACTGAATTTAGACAGGGCAGAGGGAAGCCAGCTCTTTCATAAATAATTCTTTTGGGACCTGGAGAAACACTGTTGAAGTAACACTACAGATTTTTTCTACAATAAACACACTGATGACAAATTCATTTTGGAAATCGTTTGAGAAATATTTAAAACATTGCCTCTTGCTTGTCCAACAGTCCTGCCAAGTTTCTTAAATTTTTTTGCCAATTATTATTTTTTAAGCCAAATTTAAAGGGACAGTGTGTAGGATTTGTAGGATGTAGTGGCATCAAGCAGTGAGGTTTGCAGACTGCAATCAGCTGAAACTTCCCCCATGTGCCAAGCATGAACTACTGGTTAGGATTCTTTCAGTGTTCACTGTTCAAGAGGGTTTTACCGGGAGAAGAATTATTCGCAGGGGTCTCATCCTCTCCAAAACTGACACAATGATTTAAGACTCTGAATAAAGCAGTTTCACTTTACAAATCAGTATTTTCCCGCTACCTAGCACCTGCTAATGTGTGCTCAGCTTTTTCTCTGATAACTTAAGATCCAGATGTTCAGGAGGTTTTTACCGGGAGCTGAATTATCCTGAAAGGTCTCTTTCTCTCCAAACCAAACAGACAGTTTCATGTTAAAAAATGAGTGTTTTTCCGGTGCTACTCACAGTAGAGGTGCTGCTAACTATGGTGGGAGATGCAAAAACGCTATTGACCCTATCTAGAACCAGTGTTTGGTTTGTCTGTTCTAGGCTACTGTAGAAACACGGAGTTGCAACATGGGCGACTCATATAAATGGCTAATTCTAAGGTAACGGAAACATGTCGATTCTTATTTTTTTAGGTGATTATACACTAAAGAAAACACTTATTATACTATATTCCATTTCTGCCAATATACCCCCCTTAATCCTACACACTGGACCTTTAAAGCCAGCATTGTCCTCAATTCAGTGGCGTGCTCTATGTACAGCTTTTTGGGCAGTTTAAGTGAACGCACCACAACTGTCACCCTTTCGGTTTGATCTGATCCAGTTACAGCGCAGCTTAAGCCTGTGAGCCAGGACATCAAACAAAGCCAGCATTTAGTTTACACTCCTATGGAGGAGGTACATTGTACCAGTGTGAGACAAGGTATTATCATATGCCAAAGGCCTCTGGTGTGTTGAAACAAAACATGTCACCTAGTTTTCAGTGGAAATGGGATTTCAAACTGAAGATTTGACCAGATAATTTATAGTTGCCAAAATAACAAGCACTTATTTTTTAAAAAATGGAAGGAAGATACGGGAGAACAGAAGTGGATGTCAAAAACAGTATTACCCCATAGTCTCTCTTTATGGTTTAAGGGCCTGTGATACGTCACACTGTGAGTACGGTGAAATACAAATTGGGATTAAAAAGATGCTGCGGGACTTGAGTGGGTTACATTAAATGTGTGCGTTGCGTTGCAGCCCCATCATATCTCACTGTTTTCTTGTAGCATTTGGTTTTGTGGTCAAGGTGGGATTTTTTTCTATGTCCAAATGAGGCCAGACATTAACTACACATATTCACATGTCACAAGCACACCCACAGTACCCATACTCAAGTCACACACACAATGCACGTAGTAAATTTAATGTGTGTGTGTGTGTGTGTGTGTGTGTGTGTGTGTGTGAGGCAGGTGCAAGCAGAGAGCCCAGTTGAGATTACAGAGTGTTGACTCAGAGTAAGTAGTGTGCAACTCTATCTGTTGCCTGTTAGTCAGGCATTTAGGCTTAGCTTGCCGCTTGCCAAGGCCCAGCTTTGGTGTCACTTTAAGCATTTCCTTGCCCCCGCTTCATTTCTCTGCAAGCAAAGGCAGTGAAAATGCTCTTTTTAAAGCTGCCTGTTTCTTTCTTGTCTACCCTCTGCTGAATTGAATTTGTCCATAAGTAGAGATATCCCTGTCTGTAATTCCTTCACAGATAGCCTATCTGTAAGCACAGGATTTCTAAAATTACAGTTCATAACAGGAGAATAGGTATTGAGCAATTGCACCCCTGCTTCAAAGTTGAGGTTTCCCTGCCTAGCTGTCAGTTTTGTTGTCCAGAATCTTGCTAGTAAAAGAACAGAAACGAGGGCTGATGTAACCGAGAAACTGGACACTGTAGTTTCCAGTGTCTGTAATATGGGAGTCATACAAAACCAAGGCCACAGCCAGGATTTTAGAGGTCATGAGTCCCCCAACACACCGCTCGCCACTGACCAGAAACCAAAAAACAAGGTCTCTAATTTTTTAACTACATGGATGTGTACACTTTCTATAAATGTTATGTCTTATAAAACTTATACAATACACGCGATGTGTACATTTTTAAAATGTAAAGCTCCCCCAGGTTGCAAAAACATCCAGAGGACACCTCAGTATCCTCAGTGGTAGCTATAACCTCTCTATCCTTTTGTCTGAGGCAGGACAGGTTACAGTTTCCTGTTTGTTAGTGTATGATGGGTCTGCACCATGCTGTTAAAAAGAGGGTGGTGGACTATTATGTTGGTCAACTCAGCTGTGAGAACAAAGTTTTCAAAATGACCTTTTGTTTACTGCTCCACTGCACACTTAAGCGTGCACTGCACTGGGCTGACAGGCTGCTAGCATCCTCAAAGCAGGAAGACTGACCTTGTAAAGGAAAAGAAAGGTGTCTGTTATGTTATTATGTGACATGTGGACTAATAAGTTTTTGTCCTGCTAACAGTTGAGACAAATGGTGGCTACGTGGGCAAATTAATTGCCAAAAAATGAATTAAGCACAGTGATGTTAATCAGAGGATGGACTCTTTCCAATTTGGACTCTCCCATTAGCTCTCCTCTAGCACCACCCTCAGGACAAAATATCCGCTTAGTTTGAGCATGAAGTATCTAAAGCTAATTGCCAGATTCCAATTAAAGGAAAAGTCCAGTATTTTTTGGAAATATGGTTACAAATGTAAAGCTACAGCTAGCTGTCGGCTAGCTTAGCTTAGCATCAAGACTGGAAACAGGGAAAAAGCTATCCTGGCTCTGTCTAGAGGTTATAAAAATCTGCCAACCAGCATTAAGCTTTAGAAAGCTTATTAATTAGCTGTTATATCTCACCTGTTTCCAGTTTTAATGCTAAGCTAACTGGCTGCTGGCTGTAGCTTCATGATTAAATTCCCCCAAGTGTTGATATAGAGTGTCAAGTTCATGTCATAATGTGTTAAATGTTTCGGACGAGGGCGCCATCTTGTGAGGAATACACTGTGTTACAGTACATGTGCCAGCAATGGCGAGTAAGCAACAAACTTATCACGAGAAATAACATGGATCCATATGACTTGGCAGCCCAAACTGGATTACAGACCCAGATGCACTACCTCCACTTACACATCCGGACATTGTAAACTATTTTGTTTTTGGATTGAGTGCATACACTTTGATAATAGAAGTAACAAAGCATTCCTCAAAGATGGCGCCCTCATCTCTGTTCCTTTATATTTGCCTCCTAGAGGACAATGCTAATTGTTTTGTTGACCTTTTCCTGACCCTTCTTCTTGTGCCACTGTCAGGCTACACTTACAGTTTTAGTCCGACTACTGTCCGATCTCCCAGGATTTTTCTAACTCATTATCTTTACAAGAAACTTCATACTGATTTAAAAAGGTGAAGGGGGCTTGAATTTCGCTGAGGAACTAACCAAATCCTTTGCTGTGTCTGCTTTTTCTCCTGCTTGACACCGTTACACACACATTCAGACATACACAGACAAAACAACATGCATGTTATGTCTGAGCCTAATCTGCACCATGCTGTGTTGGCGTTGCAAACGGTGTACTGTCCACGTCTGATATTGAAGATACGAGAGCCTAACTCTCACGTGGAAATCCTGGACCACTGAAATCAGTCTTTGTGATGGCAAACAGACTCGTGACAAATCTCCAGCATTCCTTTTTTGATGATGGACTCCAGGCCTGGTCAACAGCCTGAATTATGCAATGACAACTAACTCTAACCCTAATATAGACAAGTGGTCCACAGACAAAATAAAAAACATGACACGACTTCATGTTACTTTTCAAAAACAACAGAGAAGTTGCCTTAACTCTTGCTTGTATAATCTCTCCAGTTAAGACAATGATGCTCGCTTGTAAAGAAGACTCTCCCTTCTTTGTACAAAATGAAATATACCAGAAACAACAACTTTGTTATCTTGCTAGTGTCAATGTATAGATGATCAGCTTTTTCTGTAACTTGTATGGACCGTCACATTTTTGCTAAGAAGAAAACCCTCCTCCCAACTTCCTTTTTCCTAAACATCCAATCTGTTCAACGTTTTAACTCGTGGTGGACTGTCAATCTTTTTGTGTACATTTTATAGTATTATTTATTGTTGACAAGTTTTGCATTTGCAAATACGAAAAAAAAAGAAGTGAAGGTGGTTCGACCTGAGCATTCTATTCCAATGTAAATGCCTGGCGAACAGTGAAAAGCTTTTTTAATTATTAAAATGGAAAAACAGTGATATGAGGAGATGATCTTCTGTCTTTTTATTATGACGTTGTAACATGTACATAACATGTGGCCAAAATTGCTTTGGAAAAATAATCATTTTTTGTGTTGTAACAGTATTTGTTTTATCCAGTGAATTGCTCATGAAGACAAATAAATAAGAAGCACACACAACTCTGTTTCAGATGGGTCATATCTGCTCATTCATTACGTGTACAAGGAACCTGCGCTCAAAAGGAAGCAGCTTTATACTGTAAGACATCAAATCAAACTGTAAAAACTGCCATCTTCCTTTTAGTATCATTTATTGGGAGACTTTGACTTGATACCTCACGTCCTCACATCATTTACAACATGGCGGAGAACAACCCAGAAACCTGTGAAAATCACAATTATTGTCTGGCATGTGAATTTCAGAGGTGTCAAATGTCAAAAAAAGTCCAAATGTTCCACAGTGAAACCTTAAATATAAACACTGAGAAAAAAGCTGTGCAGCTAAATGGAAATATGCAAAGTAAATATAATTATTAACACTTTTTAAATGTATTACAGTTAACAGTACTCCATATATGTTAACTGTATATGAACAGCAGCATTATAAAAAGAGTGATATGAACCATTCAGTGCCTGTGAAAACATTTAATTACTGAGAATCTACAGTATTACCTGTAAGGCATGGTATCCTGCACTATCTGAACTGATGAACTACAAATTCTCAGCCAATTTTAAATAAAGAATGCCATAGCATTAACCAGTCAAATACATTTAACAGCTTTAAAACATTATTAATAATTAATGCACGAGTGATTAGGCTACTTGTTTAAACACATTTTCCAGTGCTGAATCATTCATAATTTGTTAGATTTTGGTTAAACAGTTTAAATATTGATGACTCAGATGGAGTGGACTGGAACAGCACTAAATAATGAGCTCAGTAATTACTAGTTATCTTTACTGATAATTAACTCGCCAGTGACTCTAGTTAGTAATTGAGTAATGCTTTATAAAAAAATTAAAAGAGTCACACATTTTTTAACACCAGCAGAGGATGATTTAGTAACTATTGGACATTATGTCATGAATATACTAACTGTTCATGATGCAGCAAACACAATTTAACAAACCTTATTGTTTTGATCTCATTTAAAGTGTTTACAGTCGGAGAAAGACTTTTAGCACACAGCTCTGTAGATGAGAAATGTGAATTTAATGGTCTCTCGCTCCATCTTGTGGCTCTGGAAAGTATTGGCCAACTCCTCAGTGGGGAGGCGACAGGAAAACATTTCCTCACAGGGGAGACATAAACAGGGAACACAATTTAATGAACACACAGTAAAATGTTTCCAACACAACAGCTGTGTGGAAAAAACTAATAAAGCCTACAATGATTGTTTTTTTTAGTCAGACTGTCAGACAAACTATTAATATTTTATCACCCTGGATGCAGGCGTTAATGAATTACAATGCAGAAAATATATTATATTAATATATATATGAAATAAACAGGATTGTTCTTAATGACATGTCTGACTCACTGCTTTTATCACATATAGACTACATCAGCCAAAATATGAGGTAGTATATGAGGTATACATTATCTTACAATATATTTTTATTGATTTGTTGACAACATTACAGTATAGCCTAGTCTTAAAACATATAACACTTACAATATACTGTGTATCAGACAAACAACAGAACACAGTTTGATATGTCCCAGGTGTTTTCACAGCTCAAATAATATGATTCAGGGAAAAAAATAACAGGATGTTAACTTTTTGACTCAGGGCCAGATTTAAAAATGTTGAAATACCTGGGGGCCAGCTGCTTCTCGAAAGTGAGACATGAAAATGAGACCTACACAACTGCAGTGGTTCCAAGGGAGTTCCCAGTGGGGGGTTCGAACCCTGGGGTGGGGGATCCCTTCTGTGCGGAGTTTGCATGTTTTCTCCAGGACCTCTGGCTTCCTCCCACAGTCCAACGACATGCAGGTTAATTGGTGACTCTAAAAGTGCCCATAGGTGTCAGTGTGTGTGTGAATGGTCTGTCTATGTGTCAGCCTTGTGATAGTCTGGCGACTTGTCCAGGGTGTACCCTGCCTCTCACCCGATGTCAGCTGGGATAGGCTCCAGCCCCTCTGCGACCCCCAACAGGATAAGAGGTTATAGAAAAAAACTGTTTTTATTATCCACTGAAAAAGTATTCAGCTTTTCACTGCTCCTGAAAGTGGCAGCCCTCTCTTTCGACTTTAAGCTCCTTTCTTAGTTTGTTTGCTTGTTTACTGTCTGTTCATGAAAAGTCATGAGCTCCATCTGCTTAGTTCCAGCTTGGTGCATGTCTTCAAACTATGATAGTCCTGCTATCATGAGGTTTACGGAAAAAAACAAAGCGATGTTGTTTGATTAACCAATATTGGATGGGGGCCCACATTTTGAAAGCCACGATTGCCCCCCAGGCTGAACTTATGAACATGCCTGGTATCATATAAATACTAATGATGCATTGTTATTAGCATTATTGGATTATCTTTCGATTCTCCTGTAGCAGTCCTAATAAATTTTTTTTATTATTTTAATCAATTCAAAATGAGACACACTAAACAATACATCAATATGCTTTTTTCATAGAAGACATTTTAACATGTCACAGCAGGAAAGGCAGAGATGTGAATGCTAAAATTAATGATGGCTGAATTTTATTTCGCTGAATCAGAATCAGGCTCCTGGTGTTTTTAATACTGACCCACTGTCATGTCTTACTGGAACACTTGAAAAGAGCAGAGCAATCATTGATGTTATTAGTAAAACCTGGACTTTTCCTATGACAAGTCAAAATGTATGTTGTGAAATACGTCTATAAAACATACACATATGATGACTGCGTATGAGCAATATCATCAGTGTACACAAACTAGGAATTGAGCAATTCAAAACCATGATTTTAAACCTGTTCAGATTTAAACTGATATATTTACCAGACTAATGGAACAAACAAATAAATGGTGTGTAAGAGATCATTTGCTGGTGTGAGAAATAACAAGGAGTTTCTCAGGCATGAGCGCAGTCAGCAGGGGTGCTGTTTGTTTTTTCCTCTCACCTCTGATTGCTGCTTTACAGTTCGAGGGCTGTGTTAACTCTGAGCACATTTAAACCATTCAAATTACCTGACGCTGCTGCATGATTTCATACAGAAATGTAGCCTCCTGTGTGGTCAGTCACAACCTCTTTTATCATCAAGGTATTAGTGAGCAGTGGGTTATTATATATTGGGGGCTCTCACAGTCTCAGTAGCATCCCTGTTGCACATTTTTTACATACTTGAGGAAAAATAAGGATGGCTGAATACCACACAAAATGACGTATTATATAAAATGAATATTTCTTGCAGAATGGAGACAGATATGGTGTCAGAATTAGCAGAACTTTCCATTTTCTTGGTGGTACAGCTGGCCAAACTGATAGAGTGCTAAGATCATAGGTCAAAGGTCATGGGCCACGCTTTATAATACCCTGTGTTCCTCATATTTTTACTAACTGCCAAAACTAAAAGTTCAGATTAGACTGGAGTTATTAGTAGCCATATATATTGGGATGCCATGAGTCAAGATTAATGGCAGTTGTCTAATATGGGCGTTATCTATCCTACTGTTAGTGATGAGACGTGGTTAATGAAAGCATCCTGATTTAATGTTATAAATGAAAAGATGAGATGTGAGGTAAAACAGCAGATGCCACCTGTCAAACAAACTCCTAGGAATTTTTTGCCTTGGATTATCTGTTATTAAAGTTTGACCCTGTAGTTGGCGCTTGTGTCTTTGTCCTTTCCACCTCTGTGGATACTGAATTTTCCCCAGGAAAGAGCAGCACACATGAGCTGCGTATGCCACACTTCATTATCATAGACCTATGAACATTAAGTCGGAGCATGGTGAAAGGATGCGTCTGTGGTCCAACTGCTCCCTCTGTTGTATAAAACAGAGTACACCACATTTTCTGAGTACACCAACACCAACACTAAACTCCCACGATTTATTATTTATCTATTAATTCATTACAGTTATTAGACAAGACAGAATTTGTGCAGCTATCCAATCGATTAAATATATCAGTCTCATGCTTTCTGCGACTGAGATCAGTAAATTAATTTAAATTGTTGCCTAATTAATCCCAGTGATATCAGCTATTCATTATTTTGTAAGAGACCCTGTGGGTGAATATGATCATGGGCAGATTATCAGATCCCCACCTCTCCTACATAGGTGCAAGACACACACTTTACAGTTGTTTAGCCTCTTTTTGTGTCATTGTTTTACATCTCTTTGTAGTCGTAATGCATCTTATTGTGGTTTTGTGTATCTTTGTAGTCATTTTGTGTTTTTCTTTAGTTAATTTTGTGACTTTTTGGTCATTTTGTGTCTGTCTGTGGTTGTTTTGCCACTTTTTATGGTCATTTTGCATCTCTTCCTGGTCAGTACATGTTCATTTGAATGACATTTTTCAGGTGAGGGCCCTCCTTTACACTTTGGGCCCCTTGGCCCAGTAGGCCTGTTCAGTAATCCTTCCATGCTTACGAGTCTTAGTAGTTGATTAGACAACTAATATCAACCATGTATTATCATGTACAAGGAGCAGGTAATTCATAGGCGTAGATTTCAGGGAGGATGCAGGAGAAAAGTACCCCTCAATATTAGAACATGTGCATTTGTCCTCAACCCCCTAAATGAAACATGAAAATAGCAAAGGACTTTTATCTTGACAAAATTACATTGACACCGTACAGTTATGCAGACAGGATGCAAATTGGTACATAGAAAAATCACCAGAATGCAGAAAATGAAGTGTTTGATGCTTCCCAGAATCACAATTTCATATGTGTCCCTCTCAATATTCAAACCAAATCTATGCTCTTGGGGTTAAATGTTTTAGACAATGAGCCTGAAGAATATTGCAGAAATCTCAAGATTCAACAAGTTTATTGTCTCAGCAGTCAGACACTTCACTTCACTTCACATCAACACCAGTACGACTTAATGCAACACTGTTATGTCGCATTACTTATTCACTTCCTCTACCTTGTGCAATACAGTATATCTACACTGTGAATTCTGTGCAATATTTATTTACTCCCCAACACTGTATAAATTGCTCTTACATTGTTTTTAATTTTAATACTACACACCATGTATGTATTACATCCAGTGTGCAGTGATCCTGTACAGCTGTCAATAGATACCCATACATATATTCATATTTTTTTTTCCATTTGTACATAAGTGAAAAGTGTATATAGTGTAAATATTATTGAGTGTATAGTTGTGTCTAAATTTAGTACTTTGTATTATATATATATATATATATATACATATATATATATATGAATTCTGTTGTATATCTTTGTATTTTAACTTTATTCTATTGCCATTCAACTTGCTTTTCTATCTGTGCTATTTTAGCTGCTGTCACGTGAATTTCCCCAGTGTGGGATCAATAAATCTTATCTCTTATCTTATCTTGTCATATGTACAGTAAAAAAAAAAAAAAAACTCAGTGATTTACGCACTTATTTATTGTCAGTCTTCCTTCACGCAAAAAAATAATAAAACTAGAATTAAAGTTAGATTTTAAGAAAAATAAATACATGAATGAGCAGAACCAAAGAGTTTAAAAGTAAAGTGCACCATGCCTCATGGAAATATAGCAATGGTGGACAGGTTGATCTTAGGCCTGGAAAAACTGGGGTCTTTCCTCCAAATCCCAAGGGCACACTCATATACTGAAATTAACTTTATTTTGGAAAATGTACTTATAGGGTCCAATTTGATAAGTCTGTTTGAATATAACAAGCTCTATTTAAGGCATTATAATGTGTGCTAGCTAATTATTTGTTTTAAAATAGCTAGAATGTATAAACAAGTCCAGGACAGACACATACAGAGAGGTAGAGGTGCATGGGGACGGGACAGGTGGCTTATGGGTAACGGAGTCCTCGCTGTGTTGATGTCAGGGGGAGGGGAGGCTCCAGACTCAGTAAGTGTGTGTCGGTGTGTGGATGTCAGTGTACGGTGGAAAATTCAGCCGCTGGAGGACTTTTCTCTCCGAGTAAAACTACTTATTTCTGCGAATAAAGCCAATGACGAGGACAAGACGAGGAGGACACAGGCGAAAATGCGAGAAGAAATCCAGGAAGAGAGTGTGTGCTTATTAAAAATTCAGCGCGGGAGAACAGACATTATCGCCCCTTCAGATGACTTGTGGCAGCACCGAGGATAAACTCCGACACTAACGGGCTTCAAACATCACTGAATGGGGTGAGACGAAGCGGAGTTTTATCTGAAGAGCGACTCCAAAGCATTTCCAAGCGGCCAAAAAGCAAAAGGGAAGGGGAGGAGAGGGGGGCAAAGAAAACGCCCTGCTGCCTGTTGCTGGTATCTCCACATTCAAACTTTATCGCCGAGTTGGAAAAATGCATCGTTCACTTAACGGGAGGTGATGATTCAAGTGTGACGTTATCTTTATTAGCCGGACGCCAAACAGCTAGCTAACTGAGGGCCCGCTTCACTGGGCAAGTTTTGGGTGTCTCTGCTTTGGGGATATTTTCTCTTCATTGTGCACACTATTCCTGTTGGAAGCGATTTGGGTGGGCTGAGAGCCCAAGGCTGCTCCGCTAGGCCCACGGCCATTAGCCAGGAACAAAGAGGTTTCACATGTAAACTCAAACAGTTTTGGGGAAAAGCTCCTCATATTTTTTTTGCTCAACTTTTAACCCACCGACGCTGCAGCCATGTCTAACGGCGCGGAGAGGAGGATGGAAAGCCGGCTGAAGAAGCTGGAGGACATGATCAGAGAGCCCAGATCCCCCATAAACCTGGAAAGTTTGCTGGTAAGTCAAGTGGGATACACCTCGTAGATTATTAATGATGCCATGTTGTCTATTCGCTGCAACACTAGACACGTATGCACACACTTCATGCTGTTAACACACATATATATCTGTTCATTCCCAAATTGTATCCTGCTACTGTTAGCATTGTTTTTACATCAGGCAAACTGTGGTGCTATTATATCCTCTCATCTCCACCATTTATAGTCTGCATTGTTTCCATTCTGTCCTGAAATCATACCTTTCCATAATACCTTTTTATTTTAGAAAAAGCTGTGAAAACAAGAGCCTCATGGTGGACATACTGTAGGCCTGATTAATAGTTAAGACTGAGTGCAGACAGTGCAGTTTGGGGCTCTGTGAAGCGTGTCTACAGATTAGGATTAACTCATGGAGAATGTCCCACTCGGTGTGTTTATGGAGACTAATATTTCCGGCCAAAAGTCCCTCTTGGGCAACAGTTGGGCCCACCAGACCAGGGTTGTCCCACAACCCACCAGATCCACACACCTATTCTGGTCTTCCTGTACTAAAAAGGTATGTTGTTTACCAGTTTCAGATAAGAGGGTCTCCTTGAAACCAGTATGATTCATCTTGTGCTTCATTCCCAGCTAAATATGAACTGTGTAATCATCCTAAAAAAGCAACACTGTAGGACTTGCTATCTTTGGCATGATCAAGCAATTAGATGTAAACATTATGAATCAAAATTCCTTTTAATATACATACACATATGTCAAACTAAACCCTGCCATTGCATTCCCTGAACTGTCAGCTCAGTAAATTGTCCTTATACTCAATCTCTAAATGAAGTGCAGACTGATTGCCATTTGCATACAGCACGTGAATCATACCAATTCCACTTTAATATGTTTCTGTCTTGCTTCCCACATAGATTTCTGGGAAGTGAGCTGGTGCATTTCCATCACTGTTTCGTCTGAGTTGACGTAGTTAGAAGTTGTGAGATTTATCATAGATTTTTCTGTTGTGAAGCAGCAAACTCTCATGTCCCTGTGTTTACACTTGCAAGACTGAGTCACCTTTGTTTATCCAACAGAATTTAAAACATTTTCTCGCCAATTAAATTAATCGCCAACTAATTTGAGTAATTTTTAAGGGAAAAAAAGTCAAAATTCTCTCATTGCAGCTTCTTAAATGTGAATATTTTCTAGTTTCTGTACTTCTCTATGACATTAACAGAAATGATCTTTGGGTATTGGACAAAATGAGACATTATAGGACATCATCTTGGGCTCTGGGAAACACTGAATACATTTTTCATCATCTTTGGACATTTTATAGAACAAACAACTTATCAATTAATTAAAAAAATAATCAACAGTAATTGTCAGTTGCAGCCTTTGTCTGATATAGTCTGATTATCAGCTCATTAATACACCAGTTCCGTTAATGAATGTTGAGCATTATACAAAGTCAAAATAGAGTATCAGTAGTTGAAATTTCCTGTACTGATACAATCTGATCATGTCATGATACAGAGATGAAGGGAAATTATTGTCCCCTTTTGCAAACAGCAGAAGATGGAGCTTTCTGTTGGAGACTAAAAGTTTATTATTTGGCAAAGGAAACTTTGCAGTGGAGATAAGACTCCAATTGTAATTCTCTGAACTGGGTCTGCCGAAGAAGTATAAAGGGTGTACCCCTTGAGAGATGCTTTTGGCCAGTTTTGTGATGACCTCAAGTTGCCTAAGGCAGTGGAAAAATACTCTCATTATACCAGTGTATAGCATGCCATTGGGCTGAAATAGGAAAGGAAAAGACCCAAATAAATTCTGGTTTTGGTTGTGGTCCACAGGAACTTAGATATCTGAGCCTGAGTGAAAGCGCTTTGATTGCTCGGACCAGAGAAAGTTGGAGTCACTAATGTTTGGTCGTGTCCAGTGTCACCCGCTGTATAATGTATGGATAGGAGGACATTGTTTTCAAATCCTCACCTCCAACTGTGATTCAGAGTCAGCGCTGTGTCACCAAAGTACCCACTGTTGCTGTAAAGTTTGGTGGTGGTGTTTTTAAATTTATGGGACCCCTAACTCGACCTGACAGAGGGCAAACACACTGTTGGGTCTATCTTAAAAAGCATCACCTCACCCCTTTTAATGGGCCCCATCCAGCTTGGGGCCCGCTGTACGTACCCTCCCCTGCTCTCCCTCACACTACTTGAGACACTCCTGGCCTGCTCCCTCTTCCCTTAAAACATTTAGCAGAATACTTGCTCGAACACTGGTGCTGTTTACTTCCTGCACGCGAGCCGGAGAGATAGAGGTGTTGAGTGTTTGAGACAAAAGTTGAGTGGGAAGCATGCGTAGGAGAGAGCAGGCTGCAGTTTTCCATTTTTAGCAGCCTTGGAGCTGTCGCAGAGATCAAGAAGTTTTGCTGCTCAGTGCTCACGGTGGGATTCAAACACACAGTCACGCACACACAAACACTAAACGCTCAGAAATGTCCTTTTTTGCAGGTGGGATAAAAACATGCATACTTAAAGTGCCTTGATAATTGCTCACAGGCTCATATTCAGTAAACAGTGAATCACACATCCCCCTGCTATTGTGGCATAGCAACAGCAAATGGAAAAAAAAAATCAGAAGAAGCTGCTTGTTGACTATTATATAGCCACCCAAATAACAGCTTTGTGAAAGAATCTCAGCAATTAACATCAGGTTTTTACTTCTCAGTTGACTTAAAGTTAGACGTATTAAGGGCTTGCCAGGGAGCCGTGGGCTCAGTACCCTGAGGATACGGAAAGCTGACAGTGAGGAATCTGCAGCATCTGTCAAGTAAACTCTGTGACCTTCCTGTAAAGAAATCTGACCCATTATAAACTGGGATATACAGTATTGTACTCTGACATTATATTTAGTCAGCAGAGATTCTTCTGTAAACAATTTTGAACACTAAAGTCACACTTGCTTCCAAAAAAAGAACAGCAAAAATCACATAAATGGTGCTTTAACGGTGCCATCCAAACTGTAAAATCACTATATTGCCCCTATCAGCATTCGATCAAATGTAACCTCAAGTCTCAGCAACCTTCCCCTTTGTGCAAACTGTAGTGATCGTTATTTGGCAGCACACCACTGCTGACTAAAGTGCTGGAGTTAACTCAGCAGCTCCAGGTACAGGGAGTGATTGTTGAGGACAAGCAAAAGAAAGGGCATTTCTTGAGATAAAGAAAAAATATGGACACTTGATTGCAAGTCGCATAAGTTGCCTTTCTGCCGTCCTAAAGGAAATGACCTCATTGAGTAAATAGTTGGCAGCTATATATGGGACTCAAAGTCCCTGCGAATGACTGCACTTTCCCCTTTCACTTTTCAGCCTTATCTCTTTTTCTCTGGCTCTGCTTCTCTCTCAGCCTGCAGCTCAGCCCCTCCCGTCAGGCTTGTTAAACACACTGCAGGTATTTTAACTGTAGCTCCAGTCCAAAGCCCTTTGATACAGCTGCAGACCTGGTACCACCAGATAACTTAGTACACAGCACTTAAGAGTGAACGATATGAGATATGGATTGCTAAGAGTTTGTCTGATGTCTTCCAGATCATCTCCTGGGGCAGTCCCTGGGTGTTACTCAGCATTAGGTGACCATAACGTTTAATAACATAATGCAGTTTTTTTTTTTTATCAAATTTTGTTCCTTCCATCCATTTCCATCCATATATTCTCAGTTTGTTCATTTCTCCAACTTATCTCCCATCTATCACTCTTCTCATCCAGCATCTCCTGTCTCCCTTTTTCTTAACCTCTGTCCTTTTCCATTTCTCCTATCATTTCTCTGCCCACACTGGAGTTTCTTCCTTGATTGTGGCGCTCTCCAGGGAGGTGGGGAAACCCCTGTGTGTCTTTTTCTCTGTCTTTACCCTGATAGTCAACCTGAGTGTTCGCTCTGTCTCTGGAGTGCAGTTGGGTTGCTCTCAGGCAAGCAGCAGCAGCAGTCCCGGCTTCAATGTGCTAGCTGGATAGAAACACTGCCTTATAAGGCACTGGGGACGGTGGCCCCGGCCAATTTTTTTTTTCTGCAAAACAAGCCAGTCTCTCTGCTCCACACCTCCTCTGGTGAGACGGCCGGGCCTCTCCACAGTCTTTTTTTGGTTTTTGCTCCACTCCAGTGAAGAAGACCCAGCGTCTTCCGGGTGTGCAGGCCCTCAGTGGTCTTGAAATGTCACACTTCACTTCAGCTATGTATCATCTGGTCTTCTTTAGTGGTCAGAACAAAGTAACATTATCGGGTTTTCCCTGTTTTTTGAAGCCATAGATGGCCCACCAGATGTTTTTCTAAACATCTATGATTTGCTTTGTGCCACGGCTTTAACTTAAACTATTAGTACTTCTATTTCACTTATTTATTGTCTTCCCATACAAAGTAATTTTAAGATTTGTGGTCTCAAAGGAATAGTTTGACATTTTAGGAATGTGCTTACTCGCTTTCTCGCCAAAGAGTTAGATGAGAAGCATGATACCACTCTCATGTCTGTACGTTTAATCTGTAGCTACAGCTTAGCTTAGCGCAAAGACTGGAAACGAGGGGAAACCCCTAGCCTGGCTCTGACTGAAGGAAACAAAATCCACCTACTAGCACCTCTAAAGCTCACTAATTATCTTATTATGTATTGTTTGTTTAATCCATATACAAGACAGAATTGTTTTATGAAAGGTTATGTGTGAATGTTATTCGGCCATATGACTTCCTGGAGTCTCTACTGGTTGCCTGGCAACCTCACTCTGACGACAGGACTTTAAGGAAACTGTAAAAGAAGGAGGGGACATTCAAATTTTGCATTCGTGCCACTTCTGTTGATGTTAATGGGGCAGACACAACAAGTCCCACTATAACCCGTCATATCTGTGCTATTTCACCTTTGACTGAAAAATTCTTCCGCACAAAACAAACACACCAAATAACTGGAAGTTGACTGATGTATTTTACCGGAATGTGCACGTTCATTTTCCTTGCTTTTGGTCTTAAACCAGATCATAGCTCTGTC